TACATCATCATCTCCAGCAGCAATGGTCTGAGTTTTCTCAACGATGTCACCTTCATCGATCGTCCCGACCTCCTCAGCACGAACGACTCCCCCTTGCTCGACTGCCGCGGCTTCTCCCTCCCCGGCCAACTCTTCATCCCTCCCGACTTCGAGAGATTCTTCATCATCCTCCCCACTTGGAACGACTAAGTCGGTCGGACCGCCCAAGGGAGCGGGAGGAACCTCCAATCGACCCTCCAACTTGGCCTTGCGAATGGCCCTCGCCTTGAGACCCACCCACCATGGATGGTCGGGAGGAAGAGCAGCATCCCCCCAGTAGCCGGCAGGAAAGGGAAGAGTCTTTTTGACCGCCTCGCGGTCGAGCCTACCTTCACATTCGGTCTTTTCCACAGCCTTCTCCCAGGCGTCGAAGGTGAAGTCGAAGTACTGAAGAGTCGCAGGGCAAAGTTTGTCAAGGAAAGCGGGAGAATTGCAGAAAAGATTGATAGCTTCTTGTCGATAATGTTCGAGAAACACGGAACCCATCGGGGACTTGAGAAATGTCCTGCGCCCCTCAAGGATCCCGGCTTCTCGCTCCACCATACTGTCATCTGCAGCCTTCGCCAAATCGGCTCGCAGCTGATCGACAGTCGAGAGTGCGGCATCCTTCTCAATTTTAAGCTTTGAAACAAGAGCATTGGCCGCCAAAAGGTCGTCATCCTTCTTCTATAGCTCGAAAAGAAGGTCTTCGTATTTCTTTTTATACGTATGGACACCAGAGTCGGGCGAGCTGGTATCCTCAAGCAGAGAAGGCATGATAAAAGCCATAAACTGAAAAGGAAGCATATAAAACGAAATCAAGAACATAATTGAAACCAAAGTAAAAACAGCCGACTGAAATCAGAGGAAAAGCAATTACTCGAGAAAGACATAGAAGGGCACGACTAGCGCGATCATAAGGGTCCCGGTCGGCACGGGCCTTGTCGGCAGCAGGGATGACGGAGTCCAAATACTTAGCGATCTTGTGGGGATGAGGGTGATCCCAAAGTCGGGAAGGTCTCTCGAGGGTGACCGTCTCGAGTTGACCGGGAGGAGGAGCTTGCTCGACGGCCTTGCCCTTGTCCTTGGTCTTCTGGCGCTTGAGCGAGCCAGGGACAAGAGTGACGTCACCCACATCTTGAGCCCGCTTTTGGGGAACCGAACCCAAAGCCTTTTTCTGACTCCCTGAAAGCGGGAATTAAACCTTCGATTTCTTGACAGTAGTCGTCTCGGCTGCCGTCTCTTTCACACCCGATCCCGAACCGCCGTCGGGTTTCTTTGGAGGGGTAGGTCGAGCCGTGGACTTCCCATCGCCCTTCGACTTCTCAAACCGGGCAAGAACGGAATCTGCAGATAAGCATAAAATGTCAGACATGTCGGCACAGACCCAAAATAGAGAGCATGAAAATCAGACTTACGAGGATCGTCGAGACGAGGAAGATCCTCGTCGACAACGAGGCCGACATGACTAAGAAGGGATAACTCCTTGATCAACGGGCGAGCCATGTAGGTGTGTTTATTGAGCTCGGCCAGCATCGGCTCGAATTTGGGGCACCGTGGCCGCTTATTTTGTTTGACCTTGGAGGTAATCCAAGCGTTCGGGTATGGGTATTTACCGGAAGCAGGCCGAATAAAAACAAACTTCAACTTCCACTTAGTTACGTTTGAAGAAAGGTCGTCAAGAAAAGTGACGCCGGCGCGACGACCCAAACAATAGGCGTCTTTTATGAATTGGTAGCTATAACAGTGAAAAAGAAACTCCGGAGAAAAATATCTAAGTTTTATTCTGGAAACGACAATAAAAGCGATCATGATGCGAATCGCATTAGGAGAAAACTGATTATAGGTACATCGTACAGATCACTTATAGCGCGAAGTTCGGGTTGAATAGGAAAGCGAAGACCGAACAACACTTGGTCGATAAAGAAGGTATAAAAACCAGGTGGAGGATTAGCATAGTCGTCAGTCGGTTTGGCAATGGCTAGTTCCCAGTCAGCAGGAAGACCCCTGTACACTCTAAAGCCCTCGACCTCGGCTGCAGAGGCATAACAAAAAGGATTTAAAACAGCTAACTTAGCTAAAGGACATGCTATTGAAACAACATCTCGAGCCTCGAGAAGAGGAATGATTATGGGTAAAGAAGAAGGACTTGTTCTATATACAGAAAAATCTAAGATCCTAAGGGGAATACCTCGGGGAATGAGGTCGAGACGAGGAGACTCTCTGACTCGGGATCTTCAGCCAAGACCCCCGACATCCACGCTTGTCTGTAAGCGTCCTGGTCAATACCGAAAGAAGATACATCTGATTGGGAATTCGATGATTGATCGGCCGGTTTGAAACCGACTACTTGTACAGAATCGGACGACTGGGGACCTTCGTCGATCAAGCGCTCAATGCTATCGGGCGAAGAACCAGTGTCAGAATCTAGAAAAACGAGAAAGAAGAGTCGAGATCAGTAAAGGCGAATTTAGTGCGAGACGAGGAAGGGCATAACCAACAAAGAATAAATCGACTTATGGGAGTCGACGTAAGTCGAGCCAGAAGATAATCACGGAAAAAGGGTTTCGAAACAAAGGAAGTCATGAGAATACTCCATCCGTCCTTATGACAATAAGTGAGCAGGGGCGAAGAAAGTCTAGGAGAACCACACCCAAAATCAACCTAAAAAAGCGCGAATCGACTTGGAACCAGAAGTCGACAGGAGGCAAGAGTAGAATAAACAAGAAATCTAGAGGGAAACTCAAGCAAAGAAGATCTAACATAACTCGCGTAAGGCCATTCGAAGAACACCAAGAACACAGGTTGTGAAACCCAGAAAAATCCAGGAACTATGCAAAAAAAAAAAAGAAGAAGAAGCAGCAGAAGTTAAAGAAGTTAGAGCACTTACACATGATTGTTGTCGGAAAAACTCTGAAGATCTGGAGTCGCCGAAGGGAAGGAAGCGCCGGAAAGCAGAAAACACGGAGAGCACCGGAGAAGTTTGAGAAAGTTCAGAAAGCAAGAGTGCGGAAAAGGAATATTTCGAAGAAAGGAGAGATACTTATAAAGGAGGTAACTGATTACCAACCGTTGGATCATGATCTGATCTAACGGTTCCAAGTAAAGCGCGGAATACGAGGAGACGGAGGTGAAGCGACGTGATAGGTATGGATTTGAATTTTGAAATTTAAAGGAGTGTCAGGCTGTCAGAACCATCTGAAGGTAATGATGAGGTCTCGCGACAGCACCGTAGGGTTACAAGGTAAGGGCCTCGATGTCGAGGTTTGAATAAACGAGCAGATAAATCGACCGCCAAATTTACTCTTAAGCAGTCGACTGCTTAGAGTAATTTTTTTTTTTTTGGGGGGGGGGGGGGGGGGGGGGGGGGNCTCGACCAGTGAATCACTTGAACAACTCGCATGTCGACATGACTCCGTCGACATGCTCAAGTCGACTTCCCTAAAGTCGATTCTACGGAGAGCAATCGAGAAGAGGCAGAAATCGGTCTAGCCGACTTAAGGAAGTCGACCTTAGCCTATCGACTTTCACTAGTCGATATCAATAGCGGAAGAACAGCAAAAGCATAACTTCCGAGCATCTAGATACTCTAAGTCGACTCTCAGAAGTCGACCTCGATGAGACGATTCTCTGAAGACGATTTTCCCTCAAGAATGACAGGGTAGCCTCCGGACATTCATATGATCATGAGTCGACCTCCCAGTGCTCGAGGTCGACTTCTTACGCCTCGAGGCTGAGAACGTGATGACGATTCATCATACTTGCAGCATACTGAAAGTCCTATATACACCTAAGAATAAGAAGGAACCTTGAGATGACTCAGCAGCAAGGGGAGACGAATCGACCAGGGAATTTTGGACCTTCTACATCCACCGACTTGGGCATTCTGGGTACTTCAGGTAAATATTCACTCCTATAACATTCATTCATGCACTACTCCCCCATAGCTGCTGCGCAGTCTCTCCTCATCTCTCTGATACTGACTTGAGCGTCGGAGGCTCTACGCCGGAAACACCTCCGGCGTTGAGTTTTTGTAGGAATCTCGCGGTCTAGTAACGATTGGAAAGCGGTTCAAGCAGATCTGAGCTCACAACAACCGGTTTACCCCAGATCCGGAAGTAGACCCATCAGCTGGTATTTTAAGGGCAATATTGCATATTAATACATCACTTTTTATGTTTTTGCAATTTAATCACCACCTTTACAATTTTACAAATTAATACACCACTTTTACCATTTTTGCAAATCGATACATGACAGACAGTTCCGATAAAGAAAATCTGACATGGTATTGAGCCACGTCAATGTCATGTCAGATTTTCGTTAGATTTTTTTAACGGAACCGTCATTTATGTATCGATATTGCAAATTTGTTAATGGGTTAAATCTGTAAATTAAAAAAGTTGATAATTGCACATTAATGTTCAGTGTAATACACATTATCAGGCTTGAATTTTCACATAAAAAACATGCAATGGAGAATGCACAATAGAATTTTCACATAACAAGATGGACATAACAAGATGGACATTTGTGACTGTTAGACTGCACAATAATGTTAATTGAAATACACATTATCAAAGTTTTCTAAAATTGATATGCACTTAAAAAAGGCAAAATTGCATATTAATGAACCACCTTTCATGTTTTTGCAATTTATCACAAACATTTACAAATTTGCAAATTAATACACCACTTTTACCATTTTTGCAAATCAATTGAAATTATTTACTGATTGTATTTAGTTATTGCTTGTTTTATTATGATTCTATGAAATTCTTAAGTGTATCTTAAAGATTTAAGTGGATTGAGTCATGCATGATACCACTTGATGTATTTTGTTAATCATTCATAAATTATAAACGATATAAAACTTATGATAATCTGGACATTTTAAAATCTATGAGATTATGAGAAAAAATTTAAGTAATTGCGAGTTATATATTTTATTTATTTATTTATTTATTTTTATTTTTTATAAGGTCTCAGTACTTATTTAAGCTTGAAGGATAAAATATATAAAACCCTATTACCAGCCCACAAAGATTGTCCATAAATAATTTAGTCAAATAAAAGAGATTAAAACAAATCTTAAAAACATTTGAACTAATTAAGTTTGTTTAAAAACAAACGCATTCTCTCTCATGGGAGCAGGTTCCGGCGATTATCTCTTATGGGATCGTTCTTCTGATTCTTGATTACTGATCGGTTTCTTTGCGAAATTGTTCCACCATTATCTCAGGCGATTCGAACTACATTGTGATGGATTCTAAAACTGTGGGTAGAGATGAAGATTTGGCCAATCGGCTCCAAGGGTTTTCCCTTTCATCGAAGGAAGCTCTGATCACGGACATTAAGCAAGAGGATATCAAGCTAAGTGCGGAAGAATGCAGTCGTAGCTTATTCGGAAAAGTAGTAGGGGACCGAACAGCCAGCTGGATTGGCATCAAAAGGACGATGAATAACATTTGGCGGCTTCACCACCCTATGGAAGTCAAGGAATTGGGCCATAATTTTTTCCAATTCCTATTCCACAACCGGGATGACATGGAAAGGGTTGCAAAAGGGACGAACTGGATTTTTGACAACCAGTATCTCATATTGCGACAGTGGGAAAAAGGGCTCACCAGCAAGCATCATAGTTTTCAAGAGCTCGACTTATGGGCTCATGTTTTTAATCTGCCGCTAGACTGGATCAGTGCTGAGGTGGGTCTCAAGCTCAGTACTGTCTTCTCGGAAGTTAAGAATGTGGTGGTTGTCAATGCTGGTGCTCATGGAGGTAAGATTCTAAAGCTTCTAGTTTCTGTTAATATTGCTGAGTCTTTGCCTCGATGTACCAATATCAGACTTGGAGAAGACATTATTACTGTGGGTTTTAAGTATGAGAGGCTGGTGAATCTGTGCTACTACTGTGGGCTTATTGGGCATTTGGATAGAGGTTGTGCTAAAAGGCTCGAAGATATTAAATACCACAGATTGAAAGATGGTCAATATGGTGATTGGATAAAAGTGGAAGAGAATTATTACTGGTCAAATTCTAGTCACTCTAATTCCAGGCAGTCTCCTCCCTCGGGCCACACTCCAACTGGAGCTAACACTTCTCATCCTTCTAGCTCTAATGCCGCGCAGGGTGGAAGAGATAAGGCCTCAACGGAACAAAAGGAAATAGCTAATGACCAGCTGCAAGATACAGTTGCCTCCACCTCAGATATGCAGGCTATCCAACAGACCAATCAGTTAGCTCTTTCAGAACAAGTCTCCTCACATCTAGCTCCTGCAATGGACATTATACCGAGAGACCTTACTGACCAAGAGGACTCCAGACTGATGGAAATCGAATTTAACATGCCAGGACTGGCAAGGCTTTCTCACTCTATTACAAAGAAAGAGAAGGCTAAGGGCTTAGTAGTATCCAAAATTTCCACTTGGAAAAGGTCTGCTAGCAAAGAAGGCAGGCTGCAAAGACAGGTGGACACAAATCTAGAGGTGGGAGTTGTCTCAGGGGCTAAGAGGGACAGAGAGGATCTTCATGTACCTAGTCATCATGAAAAGGAACAAGAGATATCTCTTACAGCCGATAAGAAGATGAAAATGACACTTAATCAGGTGGGGGCTGCCAGCCTTGAGTGGCACCCAACACCCAAATGCTAGCTGCGGTGTGGAATTGTAGAGGGCTGGGTGGGCCCTCTACAATTTCCCAAATCAAAGAGTCTTTTAGGACTCACCACCCACAGTTTTTCTTTCTTTCTGAAACCAGGCACACTTCTACTTATGTGAAGTCTATTAGTAAAAAGTTGGGTTTTGAGGGCAGGAATGCCATAGTTGATCCTAGAGGTCAAAGTGGAGGCCTTCTTCTCTTATGGAAGCAGGAAGTGGAAATAGTCACACTGATCATTAAGGAGTTTTATATTGCAGTTCAATTCAAGATAGCTGATGTAGACCAAGGATGGGGAGTCTTTGTGTATCTGAGTGTAGACAGAGCAGTCAGAGATGCTCAATGGTTGGCTATTGAAGCTGATAAGCAGGCTTGGGGGAATGTTTGGTTTATCATTGGAGATTGGAATGCTATATGCTCTATGGAGGAGAAGAAAGGGGGTAGGCATAGGCAACACAGTTATTTTGATGGGTTCAACAGGTTCATATCTGCTATGGAAATGGAGGAGATAGTTATGGAGGGACATCAGTATACTTGGTGGAATAATAGAGCTGGGACTGAATCAGTAGAGGAGAAACTTGATAGGGGCTTTGCCTCCTCTGACTGGCTGAGCCTTCATCCTTCAGCCAAAGTTCTCAATGTGGTAAGGAGTGCCTCAGACCATTCCTTGCTGTTACTTTCCTATGGAAATTCCCACCCAAAGCAAAAGAGAAGATTTTTGTTTGAAAAGAGATGGGTTTCAAAAGCAGGGATTGACCAGGTGGTGCAAAAGGCCTGGGACTTACCTCAAGCAGGGACCCCTTTCTTTATTCTGAAGGAGAAAGTTAAGCAAACTAGGAAGGCATTGCTCATCTGGAGTTCCTCCTTTAAATCTGACAATCTAAAGAAAATTGAGGAGCTCTCTAGCCAGCTAGATCAGCTCAGGGCTGAAGGGAGGGGTGATAACTGGGAAGCTTGGGACTCGGTCAAAGAGGATCTGGAAGAAGCTTATGCTTATGAGGAGAGATTTTGGGCTCAGAAATCTAGAACTCAATGGCTCAAAGAGGGTGACTCCAATACTAAGTTCTACCATGCTTATTGTGCTCAGAGAAGGAGACTTAATGCCATCTCTAGGCTGATTACTGAAGATCACAGGATCTGCAATACCAAGTCAGAAATTGAAGACCACATCACAAATTTCTACTCTTCCTTGTTTACTTCTGAAGGCTCATGGGGAGGAGAGAACTTACTTCCTTTAATCCCAAGAACAATCTCACCTGATATGAATCAAATGCTCCTCCTCCCATTTGACATTGAAGAGATTAGATCAGCACTTTTCAGTCTTCACCCTGACAAATCCCCTGGAGAGGATGGGATGACGGCATTTTTCTATCAACACTTTTGGCACTTAATCCAATCAGACTTTGTGGCAGCTATTCAAAGCTTCTTTGACTCTGGTATGCTTCTAAGATACTGGAATCACACCTTGATTACACTTGTTCCTAAGTGTCAGAATCCTTTAACTCTTAATCAGTACAGACCTATTTCTTTGTGCTCTGTTGTCTACAAAGTGCTTTCTAAGCTGCTTGCTACCAGATTAAAAAGTTGTCTCAGTTCTTGTATCAGTGCTAGTCAATCTGCTTTCATCAAAGATAGGCAGTTGCTAGATAATGTTATTTTGGCTCAAGAAGTGTTCCATTTTCTGAGTAGGCATAGGACTGGTAAGAATCACTTTATGGCATTGAAATTAGATCTTATGAAAGCATTTGATAGGGTGGAATGGGTTTGCATTGAGAAAATCATGATTCAGATGGGTTTCTGTTCTCCTTTGTGAAGCTGCTCTTAGTCTGTGTATCTACCTCAACTCTATCTGTTTGTATTAATGGTGCTGTAAGTGGTATTATTTATCCTTCAAGAGGCATCAGACAGGGGGACCCCTTGTCCCCCTATTTGTTCATTATTGTCACTGAGATGTTATCTGCTCTTATTTCTGATTCTATGCAAAGAGGCAGATTGAGTGGGATAAGACTGTCAAGGAATGGTCCTACTCTTTCTCACTTACTATTTGCAGATGATGCTCTTCTCTTCTGCAAAGCAGATACATCCCAAGCTCATGAACTGATGACTATTCTGGAGAGATACAGGTTGTTTACTGGGCAGAAAGTCAATCTTCAAAAGTCTACAGCTTATTTCAGTAAGAACACCACCTCTCAACTTCAGACTCAGATCTCAGCAGCATTGAATGGTATCCAACTCCATACTTCCACAAGATATTTAGGGTTACCTCTGGGAATTGGCAGATCTAAAGCTGAGGTATTCTCTTACATCTTAGACTCTGTTAAAGCTAAACTTTGGAGCTGGAAAAACAAATTATTGTCAACAGCAGGCAAGGAAGTTATGCTCAAAGCTGTGATTGATGCTCTTCCAGTCTTCTCTATGTCATGTTTTAAACTCCCTCAGGCCATCTGCAAAGCAATTGCTAGCCTTAGTGCTCAGTTCTGGTGGTGTAAGAGTGATACTAAAGAAAGAGGAATTCACTGGAAAGCTTGGAAATTCATGACACTACCCAAGGAGGAAGGAGGTATTGGGTTCAAAGACATAAGTTTATTCAACCAAGCTCTAATTTGCAAGCAGCTATGGCGGCTAGTCACTCAGCCTGAGCTTCTGGTTTGTACAGTCCTTAAGGACAGATATTTCCCTTCCTGTTCAATTTTTGAAGCTTCTAAAACCCAGCAGGGTTCTTGGCTTTGGCACACATGGCTGGATTGTTTGCCTGTTCTGAAGCAGGGTCTGAGGACTGAAATCAGGAATGGAGCCCTTACCAAGATTTCAGACTTCAACTGGGTTCCTTCACTCCCCAATTCAAAGCCTAAACTGCTGGACATAGCTCAGGGACACATAACTTGGGTGAAGGAACTGCTGCTAGAAGATGGATCAGGCTGGAACACTTGGTTAGTCCAACAGCTATTTAATGCAGAAGATAGTCATGCCATTCTGAGCATAAAGACCACTAATCCTGACAGTAGTCATGCCATTCTGAGCATAAAGACCACTAATCCTGACAGGAGTGACAGAACCTACTGGAGCCTAAACAAGAAAGGGAACTTCTCTGTTTCCTCAACTTATGAGCACCTGACTCACCAGAAAACATTGGCTCTTGATATTCCTGGTACAAGTACAAATCCTGCGGTGGTGAGAAAAGCTTGGCTTAGGAGCTGGAATCTGAAGATCAAAGGCACTGTCAAACATTTTTTATGGAAGTGCTTGACTAACACTTTACCTGTTAATGCCAATCTCACCAGGAAAGGGCTAGAAGTGGATGTGATCTGCCAGGGATGTGGAGGAGAACCTGAAACTATTGAGCACTTGTTTTTTCACTGTCCTAGGGCTCAGCAACTGTGGAAAATGGGACCTTTGCATTGGAATGGAGTTCAACTCAATGGCTGCTCCTTCAAAAGCTGGTGGTGGCACCTTTGCACTATCAAGAAGACCCAGGTGGTGGAGGACAGACTGCAACTCACAACTTACCTTTTGTGGTGGTTGTGGAAATGTAGGAACTTGTGGCTGTTTGAGAAGATTTCCTTACCTGTCAAAGTGTTGATCAAAAGAGCGCTCAAAGATTGGCAGGAGTTTAGGAGTATGTAAGTCTTGTTAGTGTGTGGGGTTCTGCTTTCTGTAGCTTAGTTTTCCTTTGTTAGTGTGTGTGGTTCTGTTTTCTGTAGCTAGTTTTCCTTTGGGTTGCTGTGTTAGTTAGTGAAGTTGGTTGGCAGGCTAGGCCTTTGCGCAGTGGTTATGCTGTCCCTCTTCGGGTTTTTCTCTTTGGTGTTTTCTAGGCCGCTTCATGCGTGTCCTCCCAGTTTTTATTTTCGGCTTTGTGTGTCTATTAGGCTGTTGGCCTCGTCTGTACCAAACTATGTTTCCTTTGAGTTTATAAATCTTCTATCGTTCCGGAAAAAAAAACAAAAAAAAGTTTGTTTCGATTTTTCAGTCAAAGTAACATTTATACATCATAATTAATATTATTACCACTTCTGTTAATAGTGATCAAAACAGATAAGCAAACAAATTTACTATTTTACACATAAGTCCTTTGGACTTGTCTAATATACAAAAAGTAGCCCATCCCCAATTTTTGCAATCGACACCCAGGCCTAATCCCCAATTTTCTCAATTTGGTGGCTAATTATTTTCTTTTATGGGCCACGACGGACTTCTCCATCGAATTCGCCAGCGCGTGGTTCATGGCCATCAACGAGGAGGGAAAATGAGCGAGCGCTCGCCGCCGATGGAGACGCTAATGAACCAGGCGGCGGCGGCATCGGCAAAGAATTCCACAGTGGGGTTGATCCTTGGGCCATCAAATTAGCGTTCAGAATTTGCCCATAAACCGTGTTGGGGCTATGAATTTGCTCGATTCCGTTGAAATTTATACCGTCGATTTCTCAAAGGCTTGATTTCCATATCTGGCGACCGTTTAGAAATCTCAAAACTGCCGCATAGAGGTTAGGTATTTGCAATATTTTGGATGTGGGCGTCATTCATCGGTGAGGGTGGGGGCGGCGGCAAGCGGAGCGATGGTGGTGTTTGGACGGTCGTGGACGGCACTGGTAGGCGGCGCTAGAGAGGTCGACGAGCTGGTGTGTGTATGTGTGTGTGTGAGAGAGAGAGAGACGGATGTGGTGGAATAGTGGGGCTCACCGATGTTGGTGGATAGTGGTAGTTGGGGAAATATCCATATTGCTAATGAATTGTAAAAATATTAGTTGTTTTTGTCCGTTGGTGGATATTCAGTGATACTTTACAATTGTATCCCTTTATTAATTGTAAAGATATAAGGATAAATGGATATTTACAGTTACAGGTAACATAAAAGAAAGATATCTCTCTTATTCTTATAAGGAAAAATGCATTCACTTTGTTGTGGCGCCACGTGGCTCATTCCCTGCATCCTATTTCATTCAATGACCAAAAGCACCTCATTTTTTTTTTCGACATCTTGTAGGCAAAACGACACCGTTTTGTCTTTGCTTAATTATTAAGCAAAAGACTTTTTTCAACATATCTTCTCAAAATGAAACACTCGCTGCTCATTCACTCTTCACACACACAAAAAACTCTCGCTGCTCATTTATTCTTCACACACACAGAAAAATGGATTTGATGAGGTGACGAAAGTCGTGGTCGAAAAATTGAACGGATTTCTGATCGCTGTCGGGAACTTGACCGGCGAGGCTTGCCTGGTTCGATGGTGTGATTTGTTTCCCGTAAATTGGGACCGACTCCGCCTAAAGGTAATTGTGGTTTGTTGTCTTCATTGTTGGTTTGTGCTATCGTTTTGCAGGCCTAATTTAAAATACTTATTTGGTGTTATCTAAACTTATCAAAAGCTAAAAACCCTAGCGGCGGTGGCGGCTAGGCGACGGACGATGGTCAACCGAGGACGGTGCAAGAAGCAGTTCTGATCGCGATGGCGAAAAGGTATGACAGAGAGATAGGAGAGACCCGCCGAAGGCGGATGGGAGAGTGGGAGACGGACAGGGCGGCGAGCAGACAGTGTGAGAGGGAGACCCGCCGAGAAGCGAATCGAATTCATTCGGCTAATACATTCCGGTAAATATGACCGAACTTTTTGGATTTTTGTGCGGGTATTATTTTTTGTATTTCGAATGCAATTTTTTGCTTCGATTGGACAACCCGTATGAGTGATTCTGTAATCGAGAAGTTACAGAGTGAAAGGAATGTTTTTAAGGTGAGAGCAAAATTGAAAGGATGATGTTATTGGTGTGAATTGTGAAAATGGCCATTGATTATGAGTACTTTTTAATGCATGAAAAAAACAATGAGTAAGTCTTCTCAATGCATGGAGCAAAGTATGTTTTAGAAGCTTATTTGTGAAATTTATTAGTTTTTATTATTATTGTTTTGGCTCCTCCTCTTTCTTGATATGTGTACAATTCTTACAGATGAGCCATCTCATGTTTTTCAATCGCACAAGTTGATAGAGATTTAGAAAGTAGAGTATTAGAACCCAAGTGTATGTTAGATATTGGTCATTAAGTAGTAACTGTCATTACCTGTTGGGGCATTGCTATAAGAGACATAGGTCCCATGTCTCTAAGGCGGGTGTTTGGCTTTTATGGTCTGTATGAGTCAATCAGTCAATAAATTGATAAAATTCTTTAACACTGGTATTGTTATGTTGTTCCTCAGTCGGCAGGGTGTTAAGAGGGTTGTGGTCTACCGTACTCCACCTTCAATTGGTTGTCGCCCTATCGATATCTGATGCTCCTCGACTTAGAAAAAGTCCTCATGCAGATGAACCCATCGTCGTCGCCTTTCTCAACTTTACCATGTTCTAGAGCAAAAAGCTCCAAAGCAATGGGATTCTTTAATAAGTGAGATCTCTTATGTTCATTCTTAAGTGTGACCAAACGGTTGACATTTTGGTTTCTTATTTATATTTTTTAGTGTTGGAGGCATTTACATTGGAGCCATCAATGCCCAAAATTAGTTTTAGCTGTATAATTTTTGTTGGTAATGTAATAATTAAGAAACATGTTAATAACTTTTGGATTCATTTCATATAAGTATACTCTTAAGTTATGACTGTGATTTTTTATTACATTCCGAAAATGGCAGATGACGAATTAGTAAGCAAAATTCCAAGAAGAAAGGTGTTATCATCTTTGGAAGTGAAAGTCTTGAACATACTTACAGAGGAGAGGGCCTTGTTAGCAAGAATGGAGCTGTTGTTTCTACTGAAACTCTACCTGACTTGCTTAAGAATGAGGAGGTTGTAGTCAATGAAATTGATGAAGGTGATGTTCACATCAAGATAGTCCCGAAGAAGATCACTCCGTTGGTAATTTTCGACCTTCAAGAGTTGCTTTCTGTTTGCATATTAATGTGTATACGGAGAAGGTTTTACTTTTGGCTTAAGAACATGTGTTTAATAAAATTATTCGAACTGCTATGTGGACCTAATATGAATATGGTGCCTCTCGATCTAGACTCTCTTAGCTATTTTGTATAAATAACATCCTGTAGGAATCCAATAGCATATCTGATATAGCCGTATAAGGATAATCCGGTCCAGAAGCTCCTTACTCAACCAACAAACTACTCGAACTACTCGCATGTCGACATGACTCCGCCGACATGCTCAAATCGACTTCCCTAAGGTCGATTCTACTAAGAGCAATCAAGAAGAAGCAGGAATTGGTCTAGTCGACTCTCGCAAGTCGACTTTAATCTGTCGACTTTCACTAGTCGGCATCAATGAAAGAGTAACAGCAAGAGTACTGTGCCCAAGCATCCTGATATCCTAAGTCGACTTCCAACAGTCGACTGAACTAAGACGACTTCACCACAAATGATTAGCCAAGTGTAGCCTCTGAATCCACACATATCCCCGAGTCGACCTCCTAGCTCTCGAAGTCGACCTCGCATACCTCGAATAACGAAGATGTGATGACGACTCATCACACTTGTAATATATCCAAAGCTCCACATACTATCAAAGATAAGAAGGAATCGTACGATGACTCAACAATAAAGGGGAGACGAATCGACAGGGGTATTTTGGACCTTCTAAGTCCACCGACTTGGGCATTTTGACACTTCACGTAAGTATTCGCTCCTATATAAAGGAGATGAGGTAACCCTAAACCCTAACTCTCATTCATTCCCACTCTCCCCCATAGCTGCTGCGCAGCCTCCCTTCATCACTCTCATACTGACTTGAGCGTCGGAGGCTCTACGCCGGAAACACCTCCGGCGTTGAGTTTTTGCAGGTATTCTTGCGGTCTAGCAACGGTTTAAAGACGGTTCAAACAGATCTGAGCTCACAACCACCGGTTTACTCCAGATCCAGAAGTAGACCCATCATTTGGCGCCGTCTGTGGGGAGTTCTTAAAGGAAGGAAGAGCTTCACACCCAGCTCCGATCTGTTTGCCAATGGCGGAGAAGGAGAGCTTGCAGAGGAACCTGAGTGAGGAATATAGAGGGACGTGGATGGACAAGAGGCCACCACCACTTCCTGCCACCAAACACCCCGTAGTTCAGATGATGGGAATGCCACCAGTCGGAGGACCACCACCACCAGGGCTGACGTTGGGCGGAGAAACGCCTGTAACTCCAACCGGCGTGAAGATACAAGTGTTGACTCAGGCAGGAACAAGTCAAAACCCTAAGCCGGGAGGGGAGAAGGGACCAACGGAGATATCTTGACGTGAGGGAAAACAGATACAGGAGGTACCGGAGCAAGCCCAACATCATGCCGAGGAGCAAACCCTGACGATGACGAGAAGCAAAATGCAGAAGATGATCGCTGAGGCAGTAGCAGCTCAGATGAAGCAGATGGCGCAGGTCGAGCAGCAGCCTCGAGTCGAGCAGCAGCCTCGAGTCGAGCAGCAGCCCTGCGTTGATTATCAGCCTCGAATTGAACAACAGGCCCGCGTCGAGCAACAAGCCCAGTCGAACGCGCAACAGAATAGGAGGGTGGACGAGGAAGAGTCTTTTATTCGAACGGTCAATCCACAAGCGAGGGATGAAACGTTAGAACAACTATTAGCCCAGGTTCGCGATTTACAGGCTCGAGTCGATGGAAAGAAAAGCAGGGGAACAAAAGAGCACCCATTCTCGTTGCAGATCTTGAAAGCCGACTTACCCAAAGGCTTCAGAGAATTGAACATATGGTACGACGGCTCCACTGACCCGTCTCGACATTTGAGGAGTTTCGAAAATATGGCCGTACTTCATCGTTACAGCAACCCAGTGCAATGCCGCGCCTTCCTGACGACTTTGACAGGGTCGGCCCAAGATTGGTTCCATCAACTTCCAGCGGGGTCAATTAGGGACTTTGATGGATTTAGCTCGAGTTTTCTTAACCAATTTGCAAGTGTGAGGGTGCAAGAGAAATCCTATCTCTCGTTGATAAGTATGCAGCAAAAGAAGGGAGAGTCGCTGCGAGAATATGTGGCAAGGTTTACAAAGGCATGTGTCGAGTGCCCAACAGCGACAGAGGAAATCAAATCGGGAGGACTGACGAGAGGGCTACTGCCAGGGTTATGTAAGAACTCTTTGGCCAAGCGACCTGGTAGGAGTTTCGACGACGTGTTGGGAAGATGCGCAAAATATATGAATGTCGAGGAGGCCGAAGTCGATTATCTGCAAAATGTGAAAATACCCCAAACTGACAGTCGAGACGATAAGAAGGAGAAGAAAAGCCAGTCGACAGGGGAAAGAGGAGGATCACCACGAGTTGACAAGGGGGAAGGACGATACAGAGGATGGAGGCCGACTCAATACACACCCCTGTCGGCTCCTCATGCGAGAATACTGGAAGTCATGGAAAGAGAAATCCGTGACGATGTGGTGAGATGGCCACGAAAAAGGGAAGATGGACCAGTAAGGCCCAAGAGTAATTTATACTGCCGATTCCACAAAGATTACGGCCACGACACTGATGACTGCAGACACCTTAAAGACGAAATCGAAAGGTTGATAAAGGCAGGACACTTGAAGGAGTTCATATACAAAGACCGTGAGAGGTCGAACAAGAGGAGAGAGAGAAGCAAGAGCCCTCGCAAGAGGGAAAGATCACCAGAAAGAGAGGAGCTCCCACCAAAAAGGGGAGTAATTAATATAATTTTTGGAGGGTCAACAGACGGGGACTCGAACCGAGCAAGGAAAGCGTATGCTCGAGGTCGATATACAAAGGTCGAAGTGCAGCAAGTCGATGAATGGGGACCAGTAATGAACTTTGGACCTGCAGACGTTGGAGAAGTTGAGAGACCACACAATGATGCCCTAATGATAACCGCACAGATATCAGGATACGAGGTGCAAAGGGTGTTCGTCGACACCGGAAGTTCTGTAAACGTGATTTTCTATGAGTGTCTCAGAAGGATGGAACTCGACATTGAACTTACGCCTCTACAAACATCACTCTTTGGGTTTAATGGATCAGAAGTCGCTCCTCTAGGAGAAATAACGCTCGCCGTCGTCCTGGGGGAAGGCGACTTGAGAAAGGTAAAAATGGTGAAATTTGTCGTGGTCGATGTCGAGTAAGCGTATAACGTAATCCTCGGGAGGCCGGCGCTTAATGCCTTCCAAGCCGTGGTGTCGACTTATCACATGAAATTGAAGTTTCCCGTTGGAGATCGAGTGGGAGAGGCTCGAGGGGACCAAGAATTGTCCAGAACATGCTATCGGATCGCGGTCAAAACTAACCAGCGGGCTGAGATCAAGGAGGGCAAAAAACCAATGTCGAATGAAAAGAGGCCGAGAGAGAGCGACCTCGAGCCCATGGAGAGTTGATGGAAATTCGAATAGATGAAACGGAGGACCAGACGACCAAACTCGACAACTCCCACGATTTTACGTTTAAGGCAATGTCTCAAACTACCTTTTGTACTGAGCGATGTTTGAATTGAATTCAATAATGGAATGAATCTTAAAGCTTATGCTTCAATTACGTTTTTTATATTTATGCGTCGACTTTATTATGCATGAAAAATTGAATCTTTCAAAACGGCTATACAGCCGGCTAACTCTAATGATTATGAAATCATTTAGCACAACTACGAAGTTGTAAACTCTCGAGCAGAATCTCGAGTAGGCTACGAAGCCTTCGACTTCGAAGTCGATCAACACAACTACGAAGTTGTCAAACTCTCGAGCGGAATCTCGAGCGGGCTATGAAGCCTTCGACTACGAAGTCGATCAACCCAACTACGAAGTTGTCAAACTTTCGAGTGGAATCTCGAGTAGGCTACGAAGCCTTCGACTACGAAGTCGATCAACACAACTACGAAGTTGTCAAACTCTCGAGTGGAATCTCGAATAGGCTACGAAGCCTTCGACTACGAAGTCGATCAACACAACTACGAAGTTGTCAAACTCTCGAGTGGAATCTCGAGTAGGCTACGAAGCCTTCGACTACGAAGTCGATCAACACAACTACGAAGTTGT